GTGCCGGTCGTCGCCTAATTAGATTCCCCGACGAAAGGGCCAACTATTTAGCCACTGCCGCTAATAAAGTTCTAAACGGCGAGACAAAGAACGTGGCATAACGAGATTAGCAAATTACATCGCGGTACGCGTATAATTAATTCCCACAAGCAGATTCCCGAGCAGATTTTCGCTCTTCCTCGTTCGATAGGCATTTATGCGACCGTGATTCTTTTTACCCTCTCTTTTTTTTTTTTTTTTTTTTTCGACGATGACGATGTAGCCTGGATGAAAAGACCTTTGGTGGCGATACGATTTAGAATTGGAAGAAGAATACCGGAAAGTGTCTTTGTGCGTGGTAATCTGAGGGAAGGAAGGACTATCTTATGCCGTTAATTATTTCTCTATATTAACGTGCCTTTTTCTTTAACGATGTTTATCATCCAACGAAATCGACGTTAGTAGCGAATCGCTAAATCGCTAAATCGAACAAACAGACGGGAATAAACAAATGATAGAGAACGGTGTTTACTTTCACGACTTATGACCCAGCGCAACAGTCGGAAACCAAGACTGTATTTCCTTGGAAGATAAAGAAGGATGTACGCCGTGAAAGAAGCAGTTTCTAATTCATACGGTCGGCATGCGGCTTAGGTAGCGTACCGTGCAACCGGCTCACAGATCCGATTTCTCGACATCCTTTTGCGAAAGTTTAAATAATACCAGCTTTGTACGTGGAATACCATCCACTCCATCGGCGTTTTATTGTCGTCAGCTCGCCTCGCGAAAATCTACAAAGAAACTCTCGAAACGGGAGAGAATATAAAGAAGAAGAGGAAGAAGAAGAAAGAGAAAAAAGGTTGGTCGGCAAGAGGAAGAGAGGCGAAACTTATAAAGAGCGGTTCCGTTGACGTCCACGTGAATCGAGCCATTATCATGCAAACCTTAGGAAGTCGAACGTTACCCGGACAGAGGGAAACGAAGAGAGAAAAACGATATTGCCGCGAGTGTTGGCGTAGCGCGGCGAAGGAGTAGGAGCAGCAGGAGGCGGAACGAAAGCGGAATGCCACGAATTTCGTTAGCGTGGTTTCGACGATGGAGTTGGACCGACGCGGCGCAGCGGACCGAGCGAGGCCGTATCTGCCCGGTCTGCTCTGATAAAGGAGAAAGCCCCGATATTGGTCGGACAGTGGAATGCCTGCACATTCGTGTCGGACAACAAGATTTCTCTCTGTACCTTATACCAGTCTCGTCAGCCTTATGGACCGAGGTTGCTGGATGGAACGGAAGGAAACGAGAAGAGATAAGGGAGCAAGAGGGACGAGGAGGAGAAAGGCAGTACGACGGATCGAGGGCGAGGTTAAAAGGAAAGTCGAAGGGATCGAACGATTGCGATTGGAACAAGTACCGTTAAGCGGCAATGGTCTGCCTGTTGTCACGATCAGACGTTCTCCGCAACACGAGAACCGTAGTACACGCGTGCCCTCCCTCGCCTCGACTGTCCTGGCTGAAGAACAAGCCGGCAAATTGAATTTCGGCTCGAACAGCGGGGGAAAAATGTCGAAGAATCTAACGTCGGCGGAAGAGAAGCGAGCACAGGTGTCCAACGAGCGTGGAGAAACTAAAGGAGGGATCGTGGGGTCGAGCCGAAGAAAAGCGAGACGCGAGATTCTCTCGGTGAGAAACTTAGACGTTCGTTTCCTCGTGATTCGACTACGAAGTGCGGTGCGAAGAATGCAAAAACAAAGAGAGTGTGTTGTCGGGCGCGGCTAAACGAATTCGTTGTGGAAAATCAGCGATAAAGGGCAGAGGAGGATTTCGATTTGCGGAACGCCGCGACGCTTCCGCTGTCTGTTGGTCGGCTCGAGTACAGAGAATTCGGCGGAGCAGCCGCATAAAACGTGCATTATTCTTAACTTTTTCTTCGCCGCGAATTCGCTTACGGCAACCCCGAGGGCGCTAAGCAAATCTATTCCCATCAAACGCAGAACGACGTTACCATTTCCAAGCAACGTCTTCCAATCTCTTCTCCTCCTTTCATCCCCCGGCTACGATGAGTCGCTGGGATTTCACCAACACCGACGAAATCGATGATTATGACTCGACGGGCATATTATCGGTCGTCTTTTCATCGAACGTTATATGCTTCTATTTCGATATGCTTTGTTCGAGGCTTCTTTACTAGCTCGCAATATTCGGAAATTGCCCTTCGAATACAATCTTAATGTTATCGCATCAGTTTTGTTAAGGGTAATGAAGAAATTGAAACGTTTAATCGTTTTTATCGATGGTACGTAATTTCTTCCTGTGAAATCTGCGTGTATAGAATCTTTAGTCGAATATCAATTAATTTCTATTCTTTCATAGCCCTGTTCTTTCAGAACTTTTTGATGTTACACATATCCTACATTTGTTATTCTTTGGTAAGTTAAGATTCGTGTTTCTATACTCTTGGGAATTGGTTCTTGTACGTATTCATCGTCCAAACGTTGATTTGTCATTCGCTATAATTCGGTATTCGGTCAATTATTTTAGCACAAAAATTGCGAATCTTTTCACTCACCACGATTACCAGATCCGGATTTCTAAACGACTAATTCGGTTAAATGGCGCAAAAATTTTCCATAAAGTGTAAGAAAAATTGTTCCAGCGCAATGAAAGAGCTCGGGTTGTCTAATAAGCCATAAACCCCGGTACGTTGCATAAAGTCTTGCTAGGAAATCGTTGACAAGTCGGCTGGTTCGGAACTCAAGCAGACTAGCGCGCGAAATTAAACATCGCCGCGAGGGGTTGCGCGGATGACAAATAAACGAGGCGAGAAGCGCGACGGTCAGACTGAAAAGAGCAGCTCCGGGGTTGGCCAGGACACGTCTAGCGGCTAGCTGGAAATAAAGGAAGGGCTGTACTTCGCGCGAGCAACGGGCGAGATATTAAAAACAAAAGTGGTCCGCAGGAGGGTGGCGTAGACGGCCGCGTGGCGGCTGGTTCATTTGAAACGTGATTCGAGCGGGTCGGCGCAGAGGGTTGAAGCGTGTCGCGCGGCAGTCGGCGACGCCGCTTGCAACGATTGTTTCGTCCCGTGCATACCATTGTTTCGTCGCGTGTATGTACGTTTTGCCGCGGAGACGAACGCGACCGATGCGTCCGTCAAGCAGAAAAAAGAGCAAATTAAAAGGAATACCAGGAACGAGAGGAAGAGAAAGAAGGGGAGGAACGTTTACGACAGATGCATATTCATGCGACGCGAGGATGCAACCGTGGTCCGAGCGACTTGATTTAATATGCATAAAATCTTTACATTTCTGGGACTCGGAGTAGCATTTTGTAGAGACTAAGAAATAATTTGACACGGGAATGGTGGTTCTCTGAAAGGAGATCTGGTAATCTGCCTTCTCTGGAGTCGGTTACGGACGACGAATCGGTAAAATGATTTGTGATACGTTGTAACTCGTCGAAAGCTTTTGCCCGACACGCGATATCGTTCTCGGTCTGTTTCTCAGTTCGATCGATATTTCTGTCGACCATTTTTCCTTTCTTTCCCAGGACTTTCTTATTTTTTTCTTTTTTTATTACTTTCTGGCGTTCTCTTTTAATTGTAATAATCTTGATAACTCGCTGAAAGCTCGTTACGACTGTTGGAAATAATTTTTCTCGTATAGCAGGAGAAGCACAATGCGCGAATATAAAAATTTCCTAATAAAGAGAATCGACAAACAGCATTGACCTTAATCCTCGATAATTAATTTCTAGCTACTCGCTCGTTATACGGCAGTACCGTTTCGTCAATATTTGCTAATACTATTAACTAGATATAACTATCGTGTTCAATATTCATAATCGTAACTTACCGAGGACGACGAGCTTCACAGGTCTGCCGGAAAGTATCTTCCCCTGATCGTCCTCCAGCGTGCAACCCCATATACCGTCGTCTTCTAATCTAACGTTGTCTATATGCAACGCCTCCGTGATAGAGTCACCGATATATCTATGTCCAGTTCCACTCATTTCCGTTCTCGTGTTGATTGTAATCATATCTACCGGACTTCCCTCGTGCAGCCATCTCGCTGGTCGTATTCTGTAGCTCCTAACAAGACAATTCGTATCAATTAGAGAATTAATTCGCAACGACAATACCGTGCGAATTCGTTGCTGCGACGATATCGACTTCGACTACTTGCTCTCGCTACTTTAAATCGAATCTTCCCATTTGCGGGGAAACAGCTACGCGTGCAGAACTGTGTCAGCAATTACGACGAATCTGTTTCGTTGCGTCCCCAGTTACTTTTAAGACGAATCGAACGTTGTTTTTTTCTTTTTTTTTAGAAAATATTGGTCTTTCCGACGTGTTTCCGAGTTTTCGATCAAAACTGACAGAATGTCATCATCTATCTGGTTAATAACCGTGCTAGATACGTCCGCAGTGGAATTATTTCTACGTTTCGAACAGCTATTTTTCAAGAAAATCGTTCTAGCAAAGCCTTGCTCGTCTTCTAACAATATCTTTTTTACAATGGAATTTTAATTATCAAATTTTAGTTTGCTAAACAGCGATGCCCAGTTTAAACAGCTTCTTTTTCAAACGCGAACGCGATAAATTTCAAATGAACACACTATCCATCCGACTAAAGCAGCTATTTTCACGCCAAATAAATCACTTTCTCTTGAACGAGGAGAAAGAAATCCTTCTCGGGGAAGAAGCGAATAAACCAAGCCACATTTTCTACGATATAAATTTATCTTTAGACGGAGGTAGGTAACAGAGAAAAAGGACGAATCTCGTGATAGTCGCTCGTGCGCGTTTCATTCGTCGATGAAGAAGGTTAAATTACCTGACCCCGGGCAATAGCAGCCTCGAGTAATTCTCTAGCTCGCATGGCAATATGACCTTGCTGTGAGGTTTCACCACCAGTTCCAAGGGTGGCTTTGACGGAGCGGCAGCTGTATCTAAGGAGACTGGAACATCGGTCGTAGCGGAAGAACTGGTAGACCATAAGTCCTCTTCGGGGGCTAAAAGGGCCGCGGGCTGTGCCACCTCGTCCGACAGAGAAATCAACGTCGAGCTGGACGCCGTTGTACTGGTGGTGCTCGTCGTGGTTCTTCTAGCACGCCGCCCTCCCTCCTGTCTGCCACGAAGGGTGAAAACACCAGCCTCGTTCACCGACCCTGTAACGACAAAGGATAGTATCGTCATCTCGCTGTTGCGTTGTCTATAATATAAATAATAAAAACACAAAAACAAAAAAAAATAAAATTACTTTGCTCGTCAGAAATTTCACAGATTCGAGTTAACAATTTTTTTTAGCGTCGCTCGCGAACGCGAATTCTAGATGGTAAATTCCAAATAAAATATTTTATTACTACGCTGTTTTACTGGAATTTTAGTTTCTCTATATTCGTACGCATTGATTTCAAGTTTGAAATACGAGATTCTTAGGAAGCTCGATAATCGACGTACTTTATTCCATCAAATTTCATACTTGGCGGTCGTAACGCAACCCCGCAAAACTCGACAGAGCCGCAAAATAAATAGCGTTCCACGCAAACGAAGGCACTTCTTAACTAAATGGTGTTTCCATCGGTCGGTCGATTCTCCCGAAAACTGTCTATCAGCTTCGGTCGACCAAGGCTACCGAGGAAAACTAATTATGTCTTCGATGGACCGCAAATAGCTATAACTATCTAGCGTAGCCGAGGTACCTTGTCGACCCGTGTCTCTACTCATACCCTCCTCACGACCTCCTATATTACGGAACAAGCTAATGTTTATTACTCGCCAAACGATGACAGAGCCGAAACGCGAAACGTCTCTGTCGTTTTATCGCTTTTTGCGAAACCATTATCGCGCGTACGCGCTTGTTCGATTTTAATTTCTAGTCGTCGAACTTCATCGACGCTCCAACTGCTCGAAGCCGGGCCAAATGAACTAAGAAATATTCTTCAAATTCGATCGTCCGTAACAAACAAAACGAATAATCCAACGAGTGACGTAAATTTGACTCTGAGGCATACGAAAAATGGTATAAACCGAACAAAAGACGCGGAATGAGAAGAAGACGAATCCGCTAAGAGCAAACGATTCGTCAATGCGTTCGTTAACGTTTCCGGGTATATCGGCGACCGGTTATACACCGACACCGAGTGGATGTTGTTGAGCGTTGATGCATGCATTATTCAGACTGTGTATCCATTCATTATTCATGTCATGATCAATGGATGTCAACAGACCGCGATCTGTATCTGAACGCATCAGCCTGACAGAAAGTGAAAGCACTCGCTGTCGTTGGGATGCGTCCGCGACACGAAGGGGCTATCGATGCCGATCAGATTTTATGAAACGAAGGAACCTCGCGCGAACACGCTTGTCTTCGTTACGATAATGCGTTATTGTCGCCTGGATGGTCCTGTTTGGTCACCGATACCGTTGACAAGGTAATCAGCCAATTGTAGCGTTACTTGATAATATGCCTCTGATGTCGAACGTCGAGTTTGGATATAGAAATTATATAGATCGCATAGATCTATTATGTAATCGTAAACACGATGAGTCGATGAAATTTATGCTGTGCCGAGAATTCGCTGCTACGATGCCGCTATAATATAACATAGCGATATAATATAATCTGGGAAATTCAGCGTCGAGTTTCTCGGAATTTCTCTGCAACGAAAGTCAATAATTTCTGCATCGTGGAAATCGGAATTAGATCAATCGTTGGCCGTCGGAAACAACACAATATCGGGATACATCGATATTCGAAAAACTTCCAAATAGAAAGAATCGTTGTTCAAAAAGGCAGTGCTCATTGTTATGCAGATCGATAATGGTAAATTTTAGAAGCGGCGGAACAAAAAGATGACAAACGCGTAATCGTAAAGATCGATATCAATGCGTTGCGCGTTGAAGAAAGTGTTATCGATAAATCTCAAGGATATGAGGTTTCCGCGTTTCGCGCGAGTTCCGCGTGTCGAGAAAAGCGATATCGATAAATATCGATCGAATTTCCACTGGATGCCGATAAATTCGCTCATCCTCTGAAAATCAACACCAATAAATTCCGGGTCGTGGAAATCGGCACCGATAAATTCTGGGTCGTAAAAATCGATGCCGATAAATTTTCACGTTTGGTAAAACCCTGCGGAGCATCGGTAAATTTCGGGTCGTGATAACCGATCGACGAATAAATTGCGAATCATGGAGATCGATAACATTGAATATCTTTTCGGCATGATCGACGATGATTTTTGGGTCGTGGTAATTTCCTACGATGACAAATTCTCCGTGCTTGGAAACCAAGGACCGAGATAAATTCTGGGTCGTGGCACGCGGCATCGATAAACCTCGCGTCCGTTCGACTCGAATCTTTCATTAATCAACCCGTGTTACAACCTAGTTACGCTAACATATACACACAGCACGTAACCGAATACGTGGGAAACACTTCAGCAAGAATGAACTAGACGTTTAAAAACTAAAGCGTAAATTCGTATGGACGCATAGTGGATACGGAATGTATTATATTTCCCTTGTAGTTTACACGCTGATTAATTAAATCCTGGAATATTAAATTTTCTATCGCTTAATGTTATCCTGTTATTCGTCGTTAGAGAAGTTTAATATTCGAGATTGAGAAACTTGATACTGATAACTGCGTAAGCAGAGCCTAGTAAAAACCGACTCGCTAAAAAATATAAAATTGAATTACAGGGAATTTCGTCTCGCGATATTTCTAACAGTATGAATTATAATGAATTCGTGTATCGTACAGTTCGATCGTTTCAACATCTCATAGAGATACATTGGACACAAGTTACCAAACAAGTTACAGGTGTAGGTTGCGTTCTACGTTTGTCGTGCAATAAGTCATGCGTTTAGCACCTTCGCGCAGACACTGCGCATCGTACGGACCTTGTATGTTGACGTGAAATAACGCGAACTAATTACCTAATTAATCTTGCGACCTACCGAGCTAAAATTGAAGTACCGAGAGACGCCTCAAGTTGCCCCATTTTCACTAATAGAAAGTCGTACACCATATTTCTGCCGATCGTAGAATCTTTGTCGCGAGTGTCTACTCTACGTGAAATGTCCATTCTTCACTGTCCAACGTCAAACCGTTGACATACTTATTCGTGTAGTTTATTAAAACGTTGAATCCCTTCGCAAAATGTTCTCGAACGTATTAAGTGGCACCTGGAACGCTCGACAGTCGATATTCCGTGGCGTGCGACGTCCTCCGACGTTTACAACCTCGTAAAATCCTTAAGAACTCCGGTCGGCAACGGTTGAAACAACCGTGACTGCTTGCAACAAGCGAGCGAGTCCTCGGCGCTGTATGAAATCGCAAAGACGAAGGATAACCACCGACGAAACGAGCTATCTCTGCGCGTGTCTCTTCGTTGCTGGTTGCTCGCAAGCAACCGCGATAAGCGACACCGACCTTGGCGAACACAGGTAAGAAAATGGAAACGCTAGAGCGACGCGGGCGTGAAACGCGAAAGAACAAACGGAGAGACACGACGCCACGTGACGTGCTTACTCGGCGCGTTTGCATGTATGCATGCGAGTCGCGACAATACGAGGTTGTAAAACGGTTAAGAGGATTTGTCACCTCGTGTCACTGGATAAACTCCTTTTCCTTCGCTCGCGAAACTCTGCTGTGTCGCTACTTTGGTTGACATCTTGGAGGACACGAACGCGAACGACTCGGTGTCTCTCTTCTCGCCTCTCCTTTATTTCCTTCCCTCTTTCTATCTTCCTTTCTTCTATCTTTCTCTCTTTTACGTACGTTAAAGAGAATCCAAACTCCGCGTCCTGATTCCCTTTGTTCGTGGCGCATCAAACGTGAAATATGCGAATTCGCCCGGGGAATTCCGGTAATTTGCGAAGAGGAATCGGGGAAACTCGGCTTCGTCTTTAATCCCCCCCGAAATACTAGATTTGTCGAACGTTGCACGAAGCAGCGGAGCGGAGGGAACGGGGCGCGCAGCGGTACGGAGGAAACTTAGTCTCGCAAAACGCATGTGATACCGTGGAAAGTTGGCTGGAAGTTCTTCCTACCATCCTCTTGCACGGCGAACTCTCCAACCCCCGACCATCCGCCGGCTATAGGATTTCGCTTCGTCGCGCTATTAATCGCTACTTATTTCCAGGCTTAATGGTGCCGTAAAGAAAATCGTCGGAGGATACTGTTATCCGAAGGGGTGAATTTGTTGCGCCAGTTCCGCGGAACGTCGGAAGTGCACAGCTGTATAGGGTACAATGGTTTTAATGGGCGCATTGTGTCTGTTTCGTCGAGTACTTGACTCCGACAGAAATGGTATAATTGAGCGCGACCGGTATTTATCGCTGCGTTTTGTCTGGTTTGCTGAAAGATATGGATTTAAATTGCACCGACGGTATAAAAGGTTTCCAACTCTTTGTTTTCTAATGGATATCGAATGACGGAGAGACTAGGTAGGAAGGCTACGAAAGTAATCAATCACCTACGAGGGTAAATCGAGAAGCGATATTAAAACCGGGTCTGAGTGTTTGTGTATCTTTGGAAACAAATTCATTTTCCACCGACCGACTGTCAAAATGATAGAGAGCATCGTCGTCCGATAAAACTGACGGACGTATTTGTCGAAGGTGTTTTGACGCTTCGCCGAAAATACGTTCAGCCTTTTAAAAGCGCACCTTGGCCAAACAAAACGAACAGATCCGTATAATAATCATTTTTGAACGATGTAGTTGGGCAGAAAGGAATCGATCGTGGCGAACTAGCGTATTTTCCTTCCGGATCGAACGACTCTCCGTGGTCACGGCAACCGCGTGTGAAAAAATGTCATCGACCGTGCGCAGGGCGAATATCAAATAGCACGTTGCAACAACAACGTTCGTAACTCTTGACAAATATTTTCTGTTGTGTTCCTCGGATGCTATTACACCGGTGTATCCGCGCGTATTTACGAATCTGTTGAAACGCTTTCCAGTAAACCGACTGTTGGTAGTTTGGAAAATATCAGAAAATGTTGCCGAAAATTTCGAGCGCTCACGAACGGACGAAGGGAGGAGCGAGGTATAAACGAGTCTATGGTCGCAAGAAAGCACCGAGCGAAGTAAGAGAAGAAAAAAAGAAGAAGAAGGTACAAACGATACAACGTCGGTTTTGTGTACATGAAACTGT